AAAGGGCAGACCAGACCAAAAGTATGTGAACAGTGTTCTTCAGTGATACGTTTACACACAGCAGAGCTACGTTAGTACAGCGCCTCCACAGACAGAGAACAGGAACTACAGCTGAACACAGTTACAGTAAAATCCTTCACTGCCTTAAAAAAACGCGACGAAACAACAGCTTTGTTTTTTTCTGCTTCCTGTTACAAAACCAGCTTCATTTATAGAAATAATCAGTTTACTATGAAAGGACTTCATCTTCACTCTGTCAGGATGACCGCACCGGCACAGCGTCCACATACTTTTTGCAGATGTGATGTACATTTCTGTGGTTCTGCTGCTGGGATCTAGCTGTGTTACATCAGGAACATTCAGCTTGTTTGTAAAAGCTTCAGGATGAAATGATTTTTATTATTTTAAGATCAAACATGTAATCTGAGCAGAAAATCTGAGTGTCCTTTAAATTTTAATGTATTTTCGACTTATTAAAATCATCATAAGTGTACCTGTGAGAGTCTGTCCTGTTTTTCTTTCCCAGCACTCACTTTTTCACTCTCATTTATTTCCCACAAGTTTTGTCAGTGGCACAGATTTGTTTAGACGCTTCACTGCTTCAGTTTTTATTTACATTATTATTTTACATGTTTCTGTGAGTCAGTGAAGAGCAGTCTGAAGCATTTCATAAGTTGGAAGACAAATAATTGGCAAAAAAATCAAATGTAAAGAAATGGTCAAACTCTGCGATCACTTAAAATATTTCAGTTTACTCTCATATGAGTGTTACCTAAAACAATGACATATGTTCAGTTTTATGTGAGCGGAGCCTTTTCATTTTCTACATACTTGGAAAATCATCAGTTTGGACTTTCAGACCAGCTGGAATTACAGATAATCAGGCAGACATACCTGTGTACTAACAGGACATCGCTAATTACACCGACCATCTTAACCACACCACACTGTGGTCAGAGCAGGAATTACAGCCATACGGAACAGAACAACTACTGATGATCTGTGAAGGATCTAGGGCTGAAACTCATCAGAAACATACACTCTAAAAACTATTGTTTAAGCTCAACAAAAAAATTAACGCAACAGTTTCCATTACTCTTTTTGAGTTATGATAACTTATGTTGAAATTAGATTGAACCAACAAACTATATTGAGTTACGGGAATTAAATTATCCTCCATAATCAAAGGTGATTTTAATTACCATTTACGTAATATTTGGTAGCTTAAAAATCATTTCAAATAATGTGGAAAAAGTAATTGGAGGAACATAATTTTTATGAGTAAACAACTTAAAAATATGTTTTTAAGTGTTATGTAATTAATTACAGCAATTACAAAAACAATTTTTTAAAGTTCATTATTTAAAATATTAAGTTGCTAATTTTCATCATTATTATCATCATTTTAGCTTTCTCTTATTTATTTTTATTGTAATAGCTTTTAAGAAAGGAATTCATTCAACATTTTTTTTTATCAAATAACTTTTTTTATTTTTTAACAGTAGGCATTTCAACACTTTGTATTTAAAAAGTGAAAATAAACCAGAAATTTAGATTTATACCATCACAGCCAAGTTATAGAATATGCCTTTATGTATTTAACACCACAGAAACAAATGTGTTCAATTGGTAAAAAATCTACTTAGAAAACATTTTGTTGCAGTAATACTTCCATGCAAGTGTTCAGTAAATGTTAACTTTCAATGCCTACCAAACTTTACAAGATCTTGCATCTTTCTATTACACAATGCAGCAAACACCTTTAAGATCAATTTTACACATACAGGATTCAAAACACAATGGTTGCAGTCTTATGGTTAGATCCACGGGTGTACCGGTTACTGATGATGGCAGTTTTCATCACCTGCCTTAAGTTCTTCAGTGTCCTTGTAAAGCAAATTTTAAAAAATAGGTTAGTGAATTATAGATTAGACTTTTATACTTACTGAATCTTAATGAATTCAGATGATCAATGGATACCACACACACACACACACACACACACACAATGCTGAATTACTTACACCAAACTCCAAAACTCCATGAAAAGGTCCTCGTCCTTCTCTCCAAGGAAAGTGATAAGGCAGCAGATGGCTACTTCTCTGCATGTTTCAATTGTATTGTGCTATTTAAGAAAAAATAAAGTATGCGTATAAACTACATGGGTGACTGCCAACAAAGTTCATTTCAAAGCTACCCAAAGTCTAAATAGTTGTCCTACCTCAAGAAGCATGTCCTTGATCTGCCTGATTCTCACTCCCTTAGCTCCTCCCCTTGATAAAATGACATCCATCAGTTTTGGGGTGCAATGGTCAAGTGTAGCCATTCAAGGCTTACAGTGGTTATTCTCTTGAACTCCTCCTGTATCTGTAGACCACACAAACAGAAGAATTAAACCTTGCAGACTATTAGCTATACTGCATTAATGAATGCTGTAATACATTATTTAAAGAGGATAGATGTGATCTAAGGCTACTCCAAGTTTTGAGGGAACAAAAACAATCTTGGTGAAGACAAGGGAGACTTCCCCACCATAACCGTGGTGTAATCTGTAATGTTTTAGCAACCCTGTTTTTGCAGAGGTTTCGAATTTACACATTGTTCACTCCCAGCCCATTTTGTAAAAAATGTGTCCCAGTTTAACAAAGCACTAATGACCCCAGATTATCACACTATACTAACTGCTTACATAAAGTCTTAATATTAAGTAGATTCACATAGCCTATGCCAGAATAATGCTATTTGAATGACATTAACAATATTTCACACAATCTGATTTTTTTTTTAAAAAACAAAAAAAACAAAACAAAGATAGCTACAGCTCTTAAGATCAGGAACAGTACTTACTTTAAGCTGTATCACAATACTAACCAAAATCATTTACAATGTAATATTACGTATAGGTCATGCAAGTTTTATAAAGACATAAAATAGGTGAGCCAGATGGAAAAAAGAAGCCTCTAGGTTATCCCTCTGACAAAACTATTCACAGTTTAAGGCTTCTAATTTTGGTAAAAAGAAAAACAAAATCAGCCTATGGTCGAAATTAGATTGCACTGTGTAGCAAAACTTTAACCACGCTTTTCCTAGCCACAGTTGCACTCTCTAGCTGAAGACTTTTGTCAAATGAAACTTTATAAGTCTTATCCTCTGCTGTGCTAAAGTTTAGAATGGCTAGCATTAGCTACATGTGGTAGTGCAAAGTATTTCCTTATCTGTATGAGCATCACATCATACACAAATCCACTACAGGTGACTAGCACACATGCTTTGCTTTGGTAGAACTGTTATTTGTAAATGAAATGTTACTTACCTTGAAATGTCTTTTACAAAAGCTTGCACCATGCAACCCAACATGTGTGAATTTGCCCGGGCTAGTTAAGTCGGTAGGGGAGGGAATTTGAAATCAGAAGTTACAGTGGAAAAAAAATAAGTTATCTATTCAATTTCTTTAAGTAATTACAACTTGAATTTTATTTTGAACCCACTAACATTGGGATTTAATTTCAAATTACATATAAAATTAATTTAATGTAATTACCAACATTATTATTTCAACACAACCCAAAAAAATAAAGTTTGCAACTTAGAAGGTCTATCTTAATCAATAAATTAGAATTTTTATGTTGCAGCCATGGATTTAATCAAGTGGTGGTAAAAGGCCTGATGAATTACTTAGTCAAAGAAAGCACTCCTGTTCTGAGATGGACCTGTAAAGCTCTTTGTCAGCGCTGACACGTGAAATAGACTAATAACTGGGAGATGATGAATCGATACACAAGAGAAAACTGACAAGGACACACAGGATGAACAAACTGTGAAAACTAAACGGCATTAAAAAAAAAACCCCAAAAAGGCATTTCCAGGGGAACAAATAGGTTTTGAAATGAATAAAAACAGAAAACATGTCAAAATAAAAAGCTGGTGTAAAACAGCTGAGGAAAGAACAACGTGGTTCTATAAACAAAGTGGTTCACACAAAAATACTCAAGTTCAGTCTAAACGTTTCCTTTAGTGCATAAAAGAGTTTCTCACTTCGAGACCTGAAAGCAGCTTCGGAGCTGAGGACTTTACTAAGAGCCGAGTTTAACACAAACAGCTTTTCGCTGTGAGCTGTTCGGTGTCCGTGTTTTCCTACATCACTCTTTCTAAACTTCTCAAATCTGTTAAAGTTACTGCATCACTCTATTTATACAAACTCGAATTATCCTGGATCTTTTCAAATTAATAGTCCTATAAAGTCTCGCTGGTCAAAATAACTTTCTTGACAGAGCTTTTATTGTGAAACATTTTTAAGAACTTGTATGAAATTCAAACTGTTTCCACCTTTTATTAGAAAACGATCAATAATATTCATGCCATATCTGTGGCTCTGATGTTCATCCTGATTATTCTAGAAGAAAATCAGTGAGGGGGGAAGCATCAGCGAGCAGAGCAGGATGCATTTTGTCAATGTTTTTATGTAAACCATTTGTTTTTATTTATTTATTATTGTTTTTTAATACCTTGAGTACAAAATATTTAAATACTCAAATATAATACACAAAAACATAGTCATGTATATGATTTTAAATTTAATTAAAGCCAATTTATAGAATGAATTTGTTTAAAGAGTTTTAAAATCTCCTAAATTAAAAGTGCATAGACTTAAAGAGCAAAGATACAAAAACGAAAATAATTTTTGTTTGTAATTATTAGTAGTATATATTTAGTTAATAATTAATTTGAGCATTTATTGATGAATACTATTTATTTATTTGATACATATTAATCTGATTTTTTTTTTAAATATATTAGATTGCTTTAAAGCACACTTCTCCTCCGGGATTCATCGCGGAACAAAAAGTTAGGACTAATGTTACTACACGGAAAGATTTCACTGGGGACCGGAAGTTACATATTAGTAAACCTTGTGGAGCCGCTGTTGATAGCAGGTGGCTAACTAACGGAGTGATGACGGAGTTTGTTTGTTTGTTTTTCGGCGTGTGGAAGTAAACAACATGGCGGCTAAACGTAAACCCGACGCGACGGTTCCGGCGGAGGAGAGCGACCAGCTGCTGATCCGCCCGCTGTGAGTTTAAGGCAACTTCAGCTTCTTTCTGTGTGCGGGCTCCCCCTCCTCACAGAACTACATTCAGAAAATCACTCATTCAGGGTTCATAAATAAACTATAAAACGCGTAAAACACACAACTTAAAAAGGTCCGCGGAAGTTTCCAGTGAAGCGCTTTGATTCAGAACTCATTTAACAACACTTATAATCTGAAAAGATCTCCCTGCCAGCTTCGACACAGCTGATAATTAAATATAAGGTCGTCTGTCAGTGCATATTTAATCTTATGAGTGTAGTCATGTGACTCCAATTCTTTCAGGGTTTTGCTCTTTTACAAATAAAAATTGACTGATTTTTGAATGGAGTTTGGTTTAAAGTGAGTTTGAGCTGGATGTTGGGGTGAGGTGTGGAGTGTGGTTTCAGTGTGTGTCTATGTGCAGGGGGGCCGGTCAGGAGGTGGGACGGTCCTGCATCATCCTGGAGTTCAAAGGAAGAAAGATCATGGTGAGATAGTGAATATGAACCTTCCAGCTGTGAACGTGAAGCCTCAGTGTGTGTAAAGGTCTGTGTCTCTTTGTGTGTGTCAGCTGGACTGTGGGATCCATCCTGGTCTGGAGGGGATGGACGCTCTGCCCTACATTGACCTGATCGACCCAGCTGAGATCGACCTGCTGCTCATCAGCCAGTGAGTTCACAGCCGCCGAGTGGTCACATGACTGCCTGCAGCATGATGATACTGATGTACCGCAGATGTTTATGCTGACTCTTCCTCCTTCCATCAGCTTCCACCTGGACCACTGCGGCGCTCTGCCCTGGTTCCTGCAGAAGACCAGCTTTAAAGGTCGGACGTTCATGACACACGCCACCAAAGCCATCTACCGGTGGTTGCTGTCCGACTACGTCAAAGTCAGGTGAGACTCGCCGGTAGACACGTTGACTCTGAGAATGTTTTTAACGGTTTAATAAGAGTGTGGGCGAATGCTGGTGAGCCTCACTTTTGGGTTACCTCGAACGAGCAAAGGTCAGTGTCAGGTCAGTGATAAGCAGCTTTAAATTAAAATAACAAGACATCCAAAGGAGGGTTATTTTAAACTGGAGTAATGCAAACCTGCTGTAGGAGTTGTGAAGCAGAGGTAAGTGCTGTTTGCCGTCAAAGACGCTGCTGATGAGTTGCTTAGAATCTTTGACGCTTGATTGTCTGAATCGTGTCTGCAGTAACATCTCAGCTGATGACATGCTGTACACGGAGACCGACCTGGAGGACAGCATGGAAAAGATCGAGACCATCAACTTCCACGAGGTGAAGGAGGTGGCTGGCATTAAGTTCTGGTGTTACCACGCCGGCCATGTCCTCGGAGCCGCCATGTTCATGATCGAGATCGCCGGCGTCAAGGTGAGTTCTTCAGACATTGATCCAGCCTCCTCTGAGTGTTTGCGCCTCTGTGGGCGTGTTGCTACATGTACACACTCAGAGTTTTTATGGACATTTAGTTGCAGTTTAAAAACTACAGTTCAGATTCTTTGACCTTTTTTTTAATCACTGCAGCTTGTTAAGAAATAAAGACGCTGCAAGAACTGAAAATAAAGGTGAAATAAGTTCCTGTGACTTCATGTGAATACGATGAGGGCGAGGCTGTCTTAGACACATGATCAGTGGGGTGATGCTTTGTCGCATCGCAGTCGGGTTTTTCTGCGTTAAACAGCAGAGAAAATGTGCTGGTGTGTTCCAAAACTATTGTCTCTCCGGAGGGACCACCTCAGACAGGCACTTTGTTTTTGTGAATGAGTGAGTTTACTGAGGACAGCATGGCCACAGCTGCTAATCGCGCATTGTGTGTGTGTGTGTGTGTGTGTGTGTGTGTGTGTGTGTGTGTGTGTGTGTGTGTAGCTGTTGTACACAGGTGATTTCTCCCGTCAAGAGGACAGACACCTGATGGCAGCAGAGATCCCAAGCGTGAAGCCGGACATCCTCATCACAGTGAGTGATTCTGAAATCAGAAATCAACTGTTCAAAGTTTATGGCAGCTTTGCATGATCCGTCGTTCATAATAATCCTCCTTTATCTGATTCTGGGCTGGTTTGTCCTCTTTTAGCTACGCCCAGTTTAAGCCTAATTTCTCCTGATTGGCTGCCTCACAGAATCCACATATGGGTGGAGCATCTCAGTGACATCATCCAGATCCAAGAGTAGAAAAAAAAACTGATATTTTAGAGCAGCCTGAACTTCACAGGGATCAATTTACTTCTGAGGTCATCGTTAGAAACATCGACCACAGAAACGTGACAGAAGAAGAAGAAGAAGAAAGTGTGTACTTTATTGGTCCCCGTGGGGAAAATCCCTCTCTGCATTTAACCCATTCACTCAGTGAAGCAGTGGGCAGCCATTGGGCGCCCGGGGAGCAGTGTGTAGGGACGGTACCTTGCTCAGGGGTACCTCAGGGTAGCTGTTCAGGGGAATCGAACCCCCGACCTTCCGATCATGGGGCCACCACTCTACCTACTGAGCTATCCCTGCCCAGGAAACGGAGTAAAACCATGAATGAGGTGTAACCGCCTCAAATGTCTGTAAGATCTGACATCTCCACATGATCCCGTGTGTGGAGATCACACCCTAAAGGTGAAACCTGGAGCTGCAAACACCTGCTGTTACTACATCATGTGACTGCTAATCTTGATGCAACTGTGATGAATCAGCGAGCCAAGCATACTCAGTAATGTTTCCTGCTCTGCGTTCAGGAGTCGACCTATGGCACTCACATCCACGAGAAGCGTGAGGAGAGGGAGGCTCGTTTCTGCAACACCGTCCACGACATCGTGAACAGGGAGGGCCGCTGCCTGATCCCTGTCTTCGCCCTGGGACGGGCTCAGGAGCTGCTCCTCATCCTCGGTGAGGTCTTCTCTCGGTCTCCTCTGCCCATGAGCCCGGCTCCGACCCTATTGACCTCTGATCTGCTCGTGTTTTTGATCCAGACGAGTACTGGCAGAACCACCCGGAGCTCCACGACATCCCTATCTACTACGCCTCTTCTCTGGCCAGGAAGTGCATGGCTGTGTACCAGACCTACATCAACGCCATGAACGACAAGATCCGCAAGGCTATCAACATCAACAACCCCTTTGTCTTCAAGCACATCAGCAACCTCAAGGTCAGTGAATGCAGTCCGTGGGTTGTCAGTTGGCTCATATCATTATACATGCAGGATTTTTACATGTGTGTGTTTCAGAGCATGGACCACTTCGATGACATCGGTCCCAGCGTGGTGATGGCATCTCCTGGTATGATGCAGAGTGGCCTGTCCAGAGAGCTGTTTGAGAGCTGGTGCACCGACCGCAGGAATGGCGTCATCATCGCCGGATACTGCGTGGAGGGGACGCTCGCCAAGGTGAGGTCAGCTTGGACTATTTTAACTGTGGAGTCAGGAAACTGCCCTGAAGGACAAACCTGAGTGAGCCTGCTTCTGAGGCTTTTCCAACATTTTCCCGTTTCTGAGCGGAAAATGTTTCCTGAGAGTCTGATTTTCTTTTCGGGGAGTGGCGGAAAGCCCAGACCTGCAGATCTGCTCTGATTTAAACCGTCTGTGTCAGGGTTTAGGCATTAATAATAAGGCAACAGTGCCCCCATCAGGCCAGAGTGAAAATGACACAATCATTTAAAGCCTTCAGAGAGCCGAGTTTCTTTCCTGATTCCTTCGAGGTCTAACGGTTTGTCTGCGTTTCTCAGCACATCATGACAGAGCCCGACGAGATCACCACCATGTCGGGTCAGAAGCTTCCTCTGAAGATGTCGGTGGACTACATCTCCTTCTCAGCTCACACAGACTACCAACAGACCAGCGAGTTCATCAGAGCTCTCAAGCCTCCTCATGTGGTAATCAGATTTATTCACTCACTCTCAGCTTATCAGTAAACAGATGACAGCGTTTCAAAAGTGCTAAAATTGTAGCAGCTGTATAATTGTTAATCATGACTCAGTCCAATCGCTCAGCAGAGCAGAGATCATCTAATGAGAGTAAGACGTCTGTGCGCTGTGGACCTTCGCATGCAGCTTCAGTCCTGGACCTGGAGTTTTTCTTTGTTGCTCTACTGACTGAAACTGTGCACAGCACTCGGTCTGATGTCGGGAACAGGTGAGTTTAGTTTAACGTGTGCTGATCCTGGGTCTGCAGATTCTCGTCCACGGCGAGCAGAACGAGATGGCGCGTCTGAAGGCGGCGTTGATCCGCGAGTATGAGGACAACGATGAGGTCCACATCGAGGTGCACAACCCGAGGAACACCGAGGCCGTCACGCTCAACTTCAGAGGAGAGAAACTGGCCAAGGTCCTCCTGAAAACCATCCGCAGCTTTAAGCGTGTCTCGTTTCACCTTCTGCCACCTTAACTCCCAGCATCCTCTGCTGCAGGTGATGGGCTCCCTTGCCGACAAGAAGTGCATTCAGGGTCAGCGGGTCTCTGGGATTCTCGTCAAACGAAACTTCAACTATCACATCCTGTCGCCCTCCGACCTCTCCAGTCAGTAACTCAGTTTACCTGCACTAATTATTCCAGCCTGATGCTGGTCCCTGAACGCATCGCCTGTTGCTTCCTGACATTTGTGCTCTCTGTACAGACTACACTGACCTGTCGATGGGCATGGTGACTCAGACGCAGGCCATCCCATACACCGGACCCATCTCACTGCTGGTCAGCCAGCTGAGAAACCTCGCAGGTAAGAAAGCAGCAAAGCTCACCTGGACTCACCTGACTCGGGTCATCCAGAGTAAAACTTAAACTTGCCCCTCATTACCGGAAGTTTTGTGAGGCGATGCATTAGAAATATTTAATGGGATCTTTGGTCGTGAATTTTTCTGCATGTCAGACTTGATGATACGTGGGCTTAAAAATGTTCATGTTAGTTTCTGAAGGTGTTTCACCTCCATCAGGACGTTTACAGAGAATGATGGAGACAATGTCTTTACAATACAAAGCACCTTGAGGCAACTGTTGTTGTGATTTGGAACTATATAAATAAAAGTGAACTGAAGTTTAATTGAACACGGTCCACAGAGCGTTCATGAGCTGCTCTTTGTGTTTCAGGCGATGTGGAGCAGGTGGAGGGAACTGAGAAAATCACCGTGAGAATCTTTAAGAGCATCACGATGGTTCATGAAGCCAGCATGGTGCTGCTAGAGGTCAGACACACACACACACACATACACTACAGCCCATGTGAGCAGAGGTGCTGTGATTTCATACAGCCTTTGTTGTTCATGGATGCAGCTTCAGTGCTCTGTCTGAAACAAAATGTTCAGATTTATTTCAAACAGGAACTCACTGATTGGAGGAAAATTAATTTTGCTTCATATTTAAGCAGCTGTTGAAGTTTTTTTAATTTCAGATCTTTTGTTTCTTTGTTGTAAATTTGTTTTTTCGTTTTTTTTTTTAAAGTGTTACAGATCCAGAATTTTACCAATTAGTTCACTAATTTCTGTTTCATTTTGCCATCATTGAAGTAAGTAAGTGTTTCTTCTTGATTTGTTTCCTCAGTGGATCGCCAATCCGCTCAATGACATGTACGCTGACGCCGTTGCCACTGTCATCCTCGAGGTCCAGTCCAACCCCAACGCCCAGAAGTGTCAGTAAACACAGTACGGCAGTGCAATGTTTGGGGACAGTGCAGAATCTGTAACATCTGTGTGTTTGTGTGTTTCAGTTGTGGAGGGGAAGAAGGAAAGTTTCGACATGGACGTGTTTGTGGAGAGGCTTGCGCTCATGCTGCAGTGAGTCGCTGCTACACACAGACATGTGCGCACACAAACACCACACACACCGACACACACAGACCCAAGAAAGGATTTCATTTCTAACTTAGCATTTTCAAAATTTTCAAAGTAAAAGTCCCCAAGTGGTAGACTAACTTGTATTGTGTTGCAGCGACATGTTTGGGGATGACTGCGTGAATTTCAAAGATGGTAAAAACCTCAGCGTGACCGTGGACGGCGTCACAGCGTCAGTAGACCCAGAGACCAGAGTGAGTATGAGGAGTGGGCAGAGTTAGACCTTCTGACAGAACACAAAACTCTGACCTTTAGCACAGGGGGCTGTGCAGTTTAAGCTGCATTAAGGTCATGTACATAAATCTGGTGTTAAGGATCATTTTGTTTTAAATCCTCAGACTTCCTGTTACAGAACCCGATCTGTTCATGAAAAACCTGAAAGTATGGGTACTTCCTGTTCCGCTGCAGGGCTTTATGTTAAGTTTAAACCTCAAAGCATGTAAATAAGAGACGGCGCCTCTGAGATGTCATTGGCTGAAGTTCTGTCAGGCTGCACTCACACAGAGAAATTACCTGACCTTCATGCGACTGAGATCAGCTCTGATCAGTCATTATTACATCATGACGGCATAAAAGTTGTTGGGTTGAGTTGACAGTTGCATGCTCTCTGTTCATGATGACACAGATTAACTGATAAATCAGGGAACATCAAAAGTCTGTGTCCATCTGAAAACCAAAATTCACTTTAACTTCATACATTCAGAGATCTGAAACAGATTCTTCCACAGATAACAAACACAGATCCTCGCCAACCTTGCTTTCATATAGGAACACACCCAGTTAGCAACCACTGGAGTCCCCAGTTGTAAAGACTAGTTAGTTGCACTCAGACCGATTGCAACTCATTGACAAACTGGCTTTCTACTAAATCTGATGCTTATCATTTGTAAACCTTAAGCAGTCTGTGTGATTGCAGTGACTCTGACCTCCCAGCAGGCAGCTGTGCAGTTTCCATGAGACTGAAAGTCAGCTGCTGAACAGGAAGAAAACTTCAGTGCAACTGATTTTTTTTATTTTCTCTGGAGTCCAAAATGTGTGAGGAATTGGGGGGGGGATGTGTAGCACACACGTGATTTTTTTCTGTCTGTGTTCAGACAGCAGTATTGAGTGAATGCTTCATGATACCGTGATACACAAAATATCCCTGTAAAGCTCGCCTTCTCTCATTTCAAAAGCCCCTTGAATTTTCTTTCTAACACACACAGTAACATTTAAAGAGCGCCTGTAAGGTAAAGCCTGTAAAGGGCTAAACTGAACTCAGACTTGCTCAAGCTTATTTTCTCAGACTACTATACAGTCACAGTCAGTGCTACTGAGCTTAACTTACAGTTGCTTCCTGGTTATGTGTGAAATTAATAGTTTCACATATGTTATTTATGCAAGTATTTTGTTTGTTTCTGTAGAAAATGATGTAATACCCTTTATTTGACCTCTGTGTGTTACTCTGCAGTTGGTGTCATGCGCAGAGGACGAGACTCTAAGGGAGATGATAGAAGTCGCTGTCCATCGGCTCCATGACGCCCTAAGCCCTGCTTTCTGACAGGCCACAGTGATGTCACAGGGGATGCTTTTGTACCGATTTCCTATAAAAATGAATGCTTCTTTTTTTTTATGTGTAAAATAAACTTCAGTTGAGTTTCTCAGTCTGTTTCCTTTAGACCATCAAAGCCTCCGATGGCCGCTTTAAAAAGGTTTACACTTATTTCAGTCATGCTGGCTTATTCTGGATACATAAAACATCTCCAATGGTGTTCTGCAGATCTGTTAGCTGTAGCTTCACAGCCTCAGACACTGACTGTATGTAACAGATGGACATTTGTAGACCACATTTGAACAAGAGGGTGGAGTGCTAGGTGATCAGCTATTCCACAGGCACAGATACCTGCTAATTAGTGCAGTATTCTTATCTTCAACACACAAACAGTACAGAGTCTTAGAAATGTCTTCATTTTTTAATCCAAAAGCAGAATTTTCTAACATGTAATGATATATTAAATCCGACACCACTTCAGTGATGTGACAGTAAACAACGTGTAGATACAGCAGAGCATCATCTGCACAGAAGAGCACATGAAATTAAAAACACTGGCTCTATTGCATCAGGATACCAGATAAGAAGAGGAGCTCACTGCTGACTGATTGTCGCTTTTTAAATAAAAAAAAAAAAAAAAGGATTTACGGGGAGTTCAGCTTTGGTGCTTGAACCTGGTTTGTTTTTATGCAAGAAAAAGTCCTGCTTTTCTTTAGAAAATTAGAACAATATTCATTTTAAATGTTTTGTTTTATTTCCACATTTTCCCTGTTTTTTTTTTTCTCCTAAAAGTCTTGTAGACTTTGAAACTCTTGAAGGTGAGCATTAAACTTTGCCTTACAAAACAGTAGAAAAAAAAAATTTGAAAAAATATTCAGAAAACCATAAACTGTAATTTCGCCAACCCTGAATCTGAGATGCATGAAGTGCTTTAAAAAAACAAAAAGCCCAAAACAAACAAACAAAAACACATCAGCTTAATTTAAACGATTAAAATGAGGCTCCAAACACAAACAGTCCAAAGGGCTTTGCAGGAGGATAAAATATTTTACGTTCATATATTTACAGAGGCTCAGCACGTTGAGCAAGGCACGAACACTGACAGGTTTGATTCCCGGAGCTGCTGAGTTGCTTCACTGAACAGGACGGGTTGTTTTAGAGCAGGGGTGGGCATCTCCAGGCCTCGAGGGCCGATGTGCTGAAAGATTTAGATATCACCCTTGGTCAACACACCTGAATCACATGATTAGTTCGTTACCAAGTCTCTGGAGAACTTCAGCAAATGTTGAGGAGGTAAATATAGCCAGTTGAATCAGCTGTGTTGGCTCAAGGACACATTTAAAACCTGCAGGACACCAGCCCTCGAGGCCTGGAGTTGGCCACCTGTTTTAGAGGAACACAAAGAACTGGCGTGAAAGACTAAAGTGCAAAACATCGGGAAGGAAAATGAACAGATACAAAAGCTGCGATGCCTGTACTGAAACCCTGCCCCCAACGACACCATTATTGAGTAACAAGTGAAATCGAGACATGAACGCGTCAGGAGGTCGTTTACTGAGGTCAACGGTCAAGGGAGCAGGAGTCTCCTTTAGACACTGAGGAGGCGCCCCCTGCTGGTCACTGCTGCAGGTTTAAGGCACTACAGTGTTTTTATATTGTAATAAGGACATTTTGTCCACTGATAGTGAATAACGATATAAATCAAAGCACGTTATCTGAAGATTTCTTTGTTTTACTTTTTGAGTTTACTTTCTGTTGTACGTAGAATTTAGATTCATTGAAACAACTGATCCCAGACCCTGCAGTTCCTCTATCATCCAATAGAGGCGCCAGCAGGCTACCATGTTTTTTATATCAGTATTTAAAACATATTTTCGGGGCTAAGTCCATCTTGTATACGTCTGTGGTCTGAGTGCCAGCTGTTGAGGCTTTTGTCTTACAGAGTATGACACTCTGCAGTCTGGAACGGATCCTGACGAAGATGCAGCTAAAGGTGGAGCCGGGATTTCGTTGTACATGTACAATGGCAAAGAGCTATTCTAGCTATTCTATGAAGGTGGAGGCACTCGCCGCCTCAGCACTGTGTCTCCTTGCTGTCGATCTGATGCTGCCTCTGCAGCCTGAACACCTTTGCCTTCTCACTGCGACTCATGTTCTCTGTCAGGTCCTCGAAGGAGCGCCGGGTTGCCCCTGCTGGACGTCCGAACGCCTCCTCAAGGGATGCCTCCTCCAGGTGGGAGTCTGAGCTGGGGTCCTCTTGGATGGTGGCCATGCGGGGGCTGTCCAGAGGAGGTGGGCTTTGGGCTGGGTCGGCGCCAGTCTGCTCGGGGCCACTGGGATGAAAGCGAAGGGGGCCGGAGGAGAACGTTGGAGATTTGAAGATCCGAACGGAGGCCGAATCCAGGCTGCTCAAGAGCTCGGCATTCTGGGAAAACAGAGACGTGTGTGAGAGCATGTCCGAGAATTAAATTTTAAAAACCTTCTTTACTCAGATATTTGTGCTCACGCTGGGGAACAGGAGTGACTTGGTGGTCTGCTCGTACTGCCTATCGAGTTTCCGGTCCTGAAACCAAAGAAGTGCGACAAAATTCAGACTTCAAAGGCGACCCGAATCCTCCAGCCCCCCCGCAGATGCGATCACAGATGCCACTCACCACACAGTGCACCAGGATGCTGAAAGGAACCCAGAACAGCAGCGAGAACGCCACCACTGAGCCCACAATGTTATCAGCCAGAAACTTCCAGAACGTGTTGATGTCCAGCTTATCGATGAAGTCCCACAGACGCTCCACCACGTCCTGCACCTGCTTCATGCATTTTCCCTGCAGGCACAGGAAACGGTCATCACTTCCTGTCGCCTTCAGTGTAAAAGCTCTGAATATTTAGCGATGGTCTCACCGCTCCATCGCAGAAACCCACGGTACAGGGTTTGCCCTTCCTGAGAAAAAGGAAACTGCCTGATATGTCCTGATAGGGGGTGCAGACGCCGCCGCTGCTCCGACAGCAGACTTTACAGGAAGCGTTGGTTTCTGAGAGGAACAAAGGCAGAAACAACGGCTTTAGCTGCAGCATGAAACAGACTGAAACTACCTCCAGGAGAAAAACAAAACAGAGTTTGAGAGAAGAAGCATCGCACAAGTAACTGCAGATGTGATTCTCTGCAGTCAGCTGGGTTTTTTTTTTTTAAAGTTTATTTTGTTTTAAAAAAAAAAAAGGAAAAAAAAGAAAAAGGATATTGTATTTAAATTCATACCTGCACTTTCAGACTCATGATATGAAGCATCATCGCTATTTTTTATTTTTGCAAAAGGGATCAATGCCAACGTCATTGCCATCTTAATTAAACCAAATCCTCTTCCTCCTCATCTTCTAAACTGAAGTCAATATACAGGCAGTGCAGAATTATTAGGCAAGTTGTATTTTTGAGGAATAATTTTATTATTGAACAACAACCATGTTCTCAATGAACCCAAAAAACTCATTAATATCAAAGCTGAATGTTTTTGGAAGTAGTTTTTAGTTTTAGCTATTTTAGGGGGATATCTGTGTGTGCAGGTGACTATTACTGTGCATAATTATTAGGCAACTTAACAAAAAACAAATATATACCCATTTCAATTATTTATTTTTACCAGTGACACCAATATAACATCTCCACATTCACAAATATACATTTCTGACATTCAAAAACCAAACAAAAACAAATCAGCGACCAATATAGCCACCTTTCTTTGCAAGGACACTCAAAAGCCTGCCATCCATGGATTCTGTCAGTGTTTTGATCTGTTCACCATCAACATTGCGTGCAGCAGCAACCACAGCCTCCCAGACACTGTTCAGAGAGGTGTACTGTTTTCCCTCCTTGTAAATCTCACATTTGATGATGGACCACAGGTTCTCAATGGGGTTCAGATCAGGTGAACAAGGAGGCCATGTCATTAGTTTTTCTTCTTTTATACCCTTTCTTGCCAGCCACGCTGTGGAGTACTTGGACGCGTGTGATGGAGCATTGTCCTGCATGAAAATCATGTTTTTCTTGAAGGATGCAGACTTCTTCCTGTACCACTGCTTGAAGAAGGTGTCTTCCAGAAACTGGCAGTAGGACTTGGAGTTGAGCTTGACTCCAACCTCAACCCGAAAAGGCCCCACAAGCTCATCTTTGACAATACCAGCCCAAACCAGTACTTCACCTCCACCTTGCTGGCGTCTGAGTCAGACTGGAGCTCTCTGCCCTTTACCAATCCAGCCACGGGCCCATCCATCTGGCCCATCAAGACTCACTCTCATTTCATCAGTCCATAAAACCTTAGAAAAACCAGTCTTGAGATATTTCTTGGCCCAGTCTTGACGTTTCAGCTTGTGTGTCTTGTTCAGTGGTGGTCGTCTTTCAGCCTTTCTTACCTTGGCCATGTCTCTGAGTGTTGCACACCTTGTGCTTTTGGGCACTCCAGTGATGTTGCAGCTCTGAAATATGGCCAAACTGGTGGCAAGTGGCATCTGCACGCTTGACTTTTCTCAGTTCATGGGCAGTTATTTTGCGCCTTGGTTTTTCCACACGCTTCTTGCGACCCTGTTGACTATTTTGAATGAAACGCTTGATTGTTCGATGATCACGCTTCAGAAGCTTTGCAATTTTGAGACTGCTGCATCCCTCTGCAAGATATCTCACTATTTTTGACTTTTCTGAGCCTGTCAAGTCCTTCTTTTGACCCATTTTGCCAAAGGAAAGGACGTTGCCTAATAATTATGCACACCTGATATAGGGTGTTGATGTCATTAGACCACACCCCTTCTCATTACAGAGATGCACATCACCTAATATGCTTAATTGGTAGTAGGCTTTCGAGCCTATACAGCTTGGAGTAAGACAACATGCATGAAGAGGATGATGTGGACAAAATACTCATTTGCCTAATAATTCTGCACTCCCTGTAAACGTGCTCATTTATTCCTGATATTGGGGCTTAATGTCAGCAGGTTAGACATGTGATAATGAGCTAACTGAAAAACAACAGCTCATTATAACCAAACATTATACTA